AATGGTCAATGCCTTTTAAAATAATTGGAGAAAAAAAAAATGATGTTAAAATTGTTTGGTAACCAGCCTGGTTATACACCGTCCTCCTCACATGGATTGTATTTGATTAACTAAACATTTTTTTTCTATAAAGGTCAATAAAAAATTATTTATTCAGGCAAAAAGCTTAAAAATGTAATAGTTATGTAAGTTTTTATTATAGCTAAAATATTAACGATACATAGCCACATAATAGGCATCATGGTTATTTCTTATAAGAACTTAAAGTTCAAATTTCGTCAAAACTTGCAGAGTTAATTAATTTTTTAGTTCAAAACTTATAAAATATTAAATGTTTATAGCTAAGGCTAGACAATTTAATACAAGGTCTTTCATACGAGTAGTTCATACTTTTATCGATAAATTACAGATCATTTTAGGAAAATTGGTAGTAAATAGGTACAATGTTTTTTTCAAAAATGAATTCATTCTGGTAAGACGTATATGAAATTTACGTCTTACCTTCTTACTCTATAGTTGACAGTAGAAACTTGACAAATATTTTTTTTTTAAAGTAATAATAATACGGGCAATGGTGGGAGGCTTCAGGATGTTAGCCCCCCCCCCCCATGCGTACCCAACTGTACTCGGATGTACCTACATCAGTGGTGTAGCGTATGTGTATAGTGTATGTTGTGTAGTGTCTATGTACAACAACTATTTCTGTATCTTATAATACCTAGTATAATATTTTGTGGATTATCTTCATAGTTCATTGTGATTGTCGATCGAATTTAATGATTTAAATGCAACACCATGGTCGCACCTCGTTAAATTCGTTAAAACCTCACTATATTAGTGGCTATATGCCTATATAGTACCTAACTAACAAACAATCGAGTTATTCAAGAGAGGCTATAAATTCAAGAATGTATATCGCTCTCAATGGGATTAGAACAGCACTGATTGACCCCAGGCCTGCAGTTGCTAAGTTTCTGGAGTCGAAGGAGAGAAGGAGGAAACTACCTGACCTAGATCTATACAAGAATCAAGAAGTTATACAAACATTTTTTTCTATTGATTCAAACATGCAATTTTAAATTTCAGTATATGTTATTTTTAAGTACAGATACTGATAGCTTTATATATATATATACTCTGTTTTACTTATTTTATCAAGGTTTTACTATTGAAAAATCGGTTATGTTGATATATGTCTCAGTAGAGATAAACCTATATAAAACTTGTAGATATATTTTTCAGTAGAGTTTAATTAATAAACCTATATTACAATTGTTGAGATAGAAGAGTTTATTTCCCTTCTATGTTCATCTGGTAAACAATTTTATTGAAGTCCCACCCAGTGAAAATTACTTAAAATAATAAAATATGCTCTGTATTTAGCCATTTAGGTATAGCAGTATAGCACAATTTTTATTACTTATCCATAACTTATCATAGTACCTAGGTAGCTACCACGATTAAGACATTTAGTACTATCTTAAATTGTATATTGTGATTAGTACCAATACTGGCAATACTGTTTAAACATGAATTTATGAAACATTATTCATACAGGAGTTATTGATAACGATTAAAATTGGAATTGTTCTTTATAATCGTGGTTATTGACACGAACAATGTTATTGATTCATTTCATTAAACATTAATTGATTAATAGATTATTTACCAAATAAGAAAACCAAGGAGAAAATATTTAACAATTATGGGCCGGATTTTAGCCATATGAGATAATTAAAATAGACCTGTGGGCCAGTGGCGTGGAGAACACATTTTTTTTAGGCCCGTGCCTCAACCAAAATCGGTTGGTAGGTACCCCGTGCCCAGGGTGGTCGGATTTCGTAAGACTGTATTTAAACATGTAGGTTATGTACTATGTAGATTAGACCAGTGTTTCTCAAATGGGTTATTTATATTTACTTTACTGTATTTGAAGCGGTCAAACTAAATTTCAAAATATCTTTTTCTAAACATATTTCATACAAAATAGAACAGTTCTAAAATAGGTTCTACCTATTTAAATATTGTTGTAAAATGAAAATTCAAATAATGTTTTTCTAAAAAAAATTCTAGTTAAATATTATATAAATATGCTTTTTGATGTACCTATACATTTTATGAGATAATTAATTATTTTTTGTCATTTCAATAGGTCACATTAATACAAAAAAAAAAAAAATGTATACGAAAATTAATTATATAATAATTAAAAACTAAAATAATGACACATCGAGTGTGACGAGTGATGTAATGTAGTAGGTATCTACTGAAATATAAATTTATTAGACGTAATTAAATTTTAAAAGGAACCTATTATAATTTATAACACATTTATTGGGGATTCGATACCGTAATTTTCTGTTTTTGTCTAACACACGAGCAACATGGTATTTTAGACGTGTTTTTGGCCAAATATATCAATTGATCTAATGAAGCGATAAGAATTCTGAAAACAGATTTGAATCTGTCGTGAAGTCTACTTGAAATCGGCTTTCCCACATTTTTGATATTATCTCCACAAATTCCTAAAAATGTCATATTTTTTTTTTTTTATTATTTTATTTTATTATTTTAAACTAAGACATTCCTAGCCTAAGGCTATCTATTTCTAGGGATATTTGACAATATACTTATATATTTTAACAGGTATTAACATGATAATTAAATATTTCCTAAAAATGTCATATTAAAAAAGAGTATATAAAAATTAACGTATTTCAATTTTTGGAGAAATTAAAATCAAAAAATCAAAAATGGGGTAAGGTCGATTTCCAGTAGACTTAACGAAAAATTCAAATCTGTTTTTAGAATTCTTATGGCTTCATTAGATCCATTAGTATGTTTGGCAAAGAACCCGCCTAAAATCCTATTAGAAATGTTATTGGAACTACCATTGCACTCAATAGCCTATTATACCATTGATTACTTTTAATAACTTAAAATAAAATTAATTGTTTTTTTTTTTATCGATTATACAAATATATTTATAACTAGCTGATCCCGTGCACTTCGTCGCCCGTTAAATGTATCAACTCAATACGACTCAAACTTTGTTCAATTCATTATTCAATATTCGGTGTATGGTGTTCAAAATTTATCTTATCTTTTCCGTTGCCCGGAATAAAAATTCTGAATCGCAGCAGTACATTATCAGGTAGGGAATCTACCTGCGGTAGATCGCGGACCCCGTGCTGTTTGTATGTAAGTGTATGATTTAACTCTAAAGTATCAAAGTTATACCAAGTTTATTTTGATATAATACTGTGGGTTAATATAACAAATTTGGTTGCTCGTAAAAAATCGCAACTCTTAAAAAAATTATGATAGTTGAACTCCTTTTGGGTGTAACTTGCTGCGGTAAGTGCAACTCAGCCACCCTGGTAGGCAATGTTCAATAATTCGATTTGATGCAAGCTTGTACCTGATCTGCCAGAATAACCAATGGCAACCAATAAATAAATGCTAATTTCTAATGTAGACTGTAACCAATGGCAACTATAAATAAATAAAAATAAAATTTCCAATTTCTATCGTGAATCTCAATGTCCCTGTTTCAGCACCTATTTAAAATTCGAATTTTGGCAAATCCTTTCTTAGCGCACGTCTACATCATAATAGCTATCTGTATTCCAAATTTCAGCCAGATCCGTCCAATGGTTTGAGCTGTGCGTTGATAGCAGTCAATCAGCTTACTGTTTTATATATACAGATATTAGATGAAAATTATGTGAATGTCAAATGACATACATTCAGTATATTCATAGGAGTAAAGATCTATTTATTTATTTAACTGTAGAATGGACACAGATTTAATTGGTTGTTACTTGTCAGTAACATTTTACAAACAACATACAATGCATGTTTAAAGAACGAGATACCAGCATGTCTTGTCTACGGCTTACAATTGCGCAACATACCAAATTTTACACTCAGTAGAACATGTGTAGCTCAGTTAGTTTAAAAATTAGTGTGAAATGACCCTCTATAAAATCTAAAGGTTTAAAGATTATTATCTAAGCAACTTCATAGGTTTTTTATTATATTTTAATTTTAAAGCGAGTGATGAGTATATTCAAATTTTAAATTCTACATCTTAAAATACTTATAACTTGTTTTAAAATAAAAATAATATGATAAAATGCCCATGAGGTTACCTAGATAATAATCTCACCTTTAGATTTTATAAGAGATCAGTTCACTCTTATTTTTAAGCTAACTGAGCTACATATGTTCTGTTGAGCGTTAAATTTGCTGTTACGCACTTGTAAGACGGAGACTAAACATGCAGGTATCAAGTCCTTTGAACTATTAACATGTAAGTATGTTGTATGTTAAATGTTACTGACAACCAATTAACTCTTTATCCTTTCTACAATTAAATAAATAATTAGATCTTTACTCCTATGAATATACTGAATGTATGTCATTCGACATTCACATAATTTTCATATAATATAATAGATATAATTTGTATAATTGATAATAAAAAAAAAAACAATTCATTTTATTTTAAGTTATTAAGAGTAATACTATTGATTAAATATATGTATATTTAATCAATGGTAATACGCTATTGAGTATAATGGTAGTTCCAATACAATTTCAGTTTTGTTTGAAACATTTGACATAATAAGAATAATGAATATACACTATTTTTAAATAAAACTGGTCAGAAAGTGGTAATCTCCTAAAATTTCCATTAATATGACACTTGTTGAGGTGTAGTTTGAAACTAATTGCACCATTATCATTCTTATTATTATTTAGTTTAAAAAACTCAATTTTAAAGTTCACTTACATGACAAATTCATGAATGGGGACATTGTAATTTAAATTTAAAAAATAACATACATTACTTAATACTTATAATTATATATTTTTTAATTTATTAGAACTTAATCTATTTAATATTAAATATTTGTTTTAACCACAATTTGACAAAATAGTTATATAAACAAGTTGGTTTATGTAGTATTATATAAATGATAAATGAAAATACATTATGATGTAGTAGAAGGAGGAGATACAAGTATAACACCATCTCCTCTAACAAACAACATAGGTATAGTACGTTTAGTAGTCTTATATACTTCTTCAAATGTTTCTTCATCAACTTCAATTGTAGTAATAGTCTCTTCAGCTTCTCCTAACACCATGTTTAAATGCTGATCAAAAGCCTAAAAAATTAACATATTTATTTTATTTTATTCAAAAATACACATGTACAATTAATAAATGGATAGTTTACCAAGATAAATTAAAGATAAACATTAAACCAAAAATTGCATATTAATATTGGCATAATTGAATCATTATTCTAGATTTTCTAGAACTATATGTTGATTACTGAATTATTTAAAATAATATCTTTGGCTAATTACTTGACCATTTTAAAAATACAGTCTGAAAAAATATTAATATTTACATGAAGCCGACCACGTAATTCTCGGTCATGGCGCATCTTAACATAGATTCTTTCATCTACACTAAGACGAATTAAATCAACTGGCTCTTTGATTGTCACAAGTGATACTGGCTGAAATAAGTAAAAACATTACATTAAGTGATTATAAAAAAAATTTAAAATACAATCGCGAATTCAGTTAACATTATAAATTATAATACCTCTGTTTCTCCTTCTGGCATTTTAGTTACCATAAATATAACTTTTTCAAAATTACTTTATTAAAATTACCGTAACAGATGTAAGCTCGGCCTTAGATTATAGGTAAGTAACAAATAAATTAATGACGAGAAATAATTTTTAATTTTACTGGTGAATAGTGGTGATTGACGATTGTTGTTAAAAATTGAAAATTAATGATAAATGTATAGAAAACAACATAACCTCAATGATGAAATATATTTTGTTGTAGCTTAATAAATAAGTACTAGAGTGCGCTGCAGATAATGAAACCCGGGCAAAATACGACATAGAATAAAGAGTGAATAATATAAAATTATAAAACCTAATTACAGTAGCTCGGTCTAGTCGGTCTAGTTAAGACGCTCTAGAGAGCTGGTCCCTTAAAGAGCGTCTTAAGCGAGTTTTACTGTATTATAATAATTAACACCTATATAATATAAACACCTGTGTGGGCAGACTTTGGTTCGTACTGTTCGTAGGGTGTACTCCACTATTTCCTAAAAGTATAAATTCCAGTAAATAGTAAATGGTCAATGGTCATACCCATAACTCATACGACCGCCCTAAAAATTATTTATAATTACCATTATTATTATTATTAATTATTATTAATACAATTTATAAATAAATAATAGGTTTTTTCAGTTTTTTTTTTTAAACAAATCTGTTTATACTGATATTTTTATTTTTAACCGATTTTACCTCACGCTTTGTTTATTGCCAGTGCTCGACTCGGAAAATTTAAGTAGAGGGACTGTTAACTTTAAAAAAAGAGCGTCCAAATCACTTGTTAAACTCTACTAAGCCGTGGGGGCTACGCCCTCACACCACCTATCAATGGCGTAATTTCAGTTTTTTTTCCGGGTCTGCAAGATTTTAGGCAGGCCAATTATAACATTTAACCAGGCCAACTTATACAATAATATCTAAACAATAACCATACCGTTTAAAGTATTTAAGTATGTTAATATTGTCTCCGTCCCTTTTATAATCCTAATAAAAAATTATTCATATCAACTAATTTGTATTGTAATTCTCAAATAGCTAGCGGTTCAATATGTATTAGAAGGCTTTTAATAAAAGCATATAAGCAACTAAAACAAGAAGCAACTACCGGCCAACAGAAGCAATTTTACTACTATTTGGAGAATTAAAAGCAAATGCGGTTTAAGGAATTATTTTTAATAAATGTAATTAAAAAATTAAATACTATTCAATATTCATACAAAATAACACATTATTAGTTTTTTTCTACAAGTTCTAATATATTATCAGCTAATAGCTATGCTATGCTCACTCCATTATAGCTGATACCAGCAGGCTGGAACGAACTGTCTTTCATAATAAAACCACAGAATAAGACTCGCTTCACATGGTTATCAATGTATATGATAATAAAGCTGATAAAAAAAATTAATTTAAATTAATTACATGCATGAATCAGTGGCTCCAAAATATATATTTACTTGGTGTATGGTAAGGTAATTATAATAAATAGGTGGGTGTCAACAATCAACATTTTATGTGGAGTTGTCTAATGTCATAGTTAACATTTTGGACTTCAGCGCCACTGGGCCAAGAATATTTTATTAATTTTCATAGGCGTGTCTACGGTGGCAGCCTAGGGTGCCTGGGCTGCTCCTTCAATTTTTGAAAGGTGCCGGTCAACAAAGTTTTAAATCAGAAGGGTCACAACATTTATTTATTTTTTAAATTTGATTTTTTTGTGTGTATCGTTATAATTACCATTTATTTATCTTTATTTAACATGTATTGTCAAATTGATATCCTGGCTTCGGAACTTGGAAAAACCGCTACTATAAAGACTTGAGACGGTATGTTTCGCATATAGGTATTATTAATATTATTGTCGTATTATGTTTGATTTGCAGCTAGATGGTGTAATCCAAGGCTGTAAATGAATAGGGATCAAAATTTCCGAACAAAAACCCGGGGTTTTTACCGTTTTTTCGGAAAAATTGGGAAAATTTGGTTTCATTTAAAATTTCCGGATAAATAATAATAAATAATTTAAAATAATATAAAAATATATTATCGTACCCCGCATTTCCGCCAATGATGTTTTGTTGTTAAGTGTTTTTCTAATAACTATTAATTAAGATTGTCATTACTCATTTGTCAATCGTGCGCTGTCTATATATTTTTTACAACTTACAAGTAATATTAATTATATAACATTTAAAAATACAGGTGATTTATTTTCGGGGTAATACACCCTCCCACATAACGGTAACTATGTTATTTTTAAAACAAATATTTAAATAGCCATATTATATTTTTAATACCTAGTTTAATTTAAAACTTTAATACAATAATACATTGATATAACCGTATTGGCAAATGTGAAATGACAATGACAGGTTTACTTATATATATTTTACAATGTTTTTTATACATAGGTTACTTTAATTTTTAAGCTTAAATTCAATTTTTTAATTTTCCAAAAATTAGGTTTTTTTCCGAAATTTTCCTGCATTTTGATTTCTATAGATGAATAATATTTTTGAAGTTACTATAGATTATTATTGTAAATAGATAATTTAGACTTTTTTTAAAATAATATAAATATTTCATTGTGGAGGGGGGCTTAAAAAATACGGTTTTGGGTGTATAGAGTTTAATTCTTTCGGTTCACTAATAAGGTAGCGTCGATCATTAGCTAGGCTGCCCCTGCCGATGAAGTCTAGTCACGCCTGACGCCTATGTTAATTTTTAATAGTAATCATATCGGAGCATAGGAAAATGTATGGAGGGCCAATTATTTATTCTATTATGTTAGTGGTGCCGTCGCACACCCTGCCCACCCCCAAATGACGCCCTTGCGGCCCCTGTTGCCCCTCTCTAAATCATAGAAAAAATATTAATAAATAATCAACTTAAAAAAATTACTGTAAATATTATATTGTATATTTTTGTTATAACTTATAAAATATAATAAATATATGATATATTATATTATTAATATATGATTGAATCTTGTGGAGGCCCCGGAGTCTCTCTAAATCCAGCCCTGTGTATATACGGTAAACTTATACTAATTTGTCAACTAATATGCTATAAATTATAATAACATGCAAGCCTGGTAAACTATAGAGAGGGCCATAATAAAAAAGGTGGGTAAGTGGATGTCACTCTGCTGTTCAGTAGGTTACAAGTGGGTGGCTGTAATGGATGTGTTAAATTTGAATTCAATGATATAATATAATATCATTGCATAAGAAAAACGGTTCTCAACGAAAACGGTCATTCAGTCTATGATATTACTAAGTATATTTGATGATATTATTGTGAATAAAGTAATTTATAAATTTACCTATTCATGTGAACCCTTGTTTTAAATTTTTAACCCCTATAATTTTTAACCCCTTCTATAAAAGTTGAACATTTTATACATTTTTAACTACAAAGTAAATATTAAATTTTAAATATGATAAATTTTGTCAAAACTTGAACTTTAAATACTTATAAAAAATTGTGCATATGTGTTTTTAATATTTTTCAATTGCTAATGTAACAATATATCAGGAGTCTTGAATTAAATTTTCACGCTTTTTTACCCAAAAAATAAAATTTTATTGATATTTATATAAAAAAAAAAACTAAAAAAATTGAAAACTGACTATGTCCTTAAACAGCTCAAAAAGTGTCAAAATATTTTCAAAATGTTCATGATTTTTACGTATTTTGTCAATATTTAAACTTTAAATACTTATAAAAAATTAATTGTGACTATGGATTTTTAATTTTTTTATCTGCCTTTAAAACTAGGCTTGTATTAAACTTTCAAGCTTTTTTAACCAACAAACAAAATTTGATTGATATTTATAGAAAAAAAACTAAAAAAAATCGGAAAATGTTATGATGTATAGAAAATGCTAATATAAACATTCAGTCAAAATGTCATGTACCCACGGTAATTTGTTTAAGAGTTGCACCAAAAACCAAAATCGATTTTCTCGAAAATAGATTTTGCGTAAAAATTCCTATTTTTTCTTAATTATTCTTTTGTTTTTCACAGCGCTTTTGAAAACTACTGGACAATTTTTTACTTTTGACCCCCCCAAAGTACCAATTAGATTCACTTTCCTATCAGAAAAGATGCTGTTGAAGAAAATCTAAACATTTTTACTTTCCTAAAAGGTGATGACAGACACATAAATAAAAAAATAAAAAACACACATCATCGTAAAATCAATACATTCATTTATTCACTCAGAGTCTAAAAATGTGCCAAAAAGGTTTATTAACTATTATTTTAGTATGCACAATGTACATATGAAATAAATACATTTATATATTACAACTTCTTTCTTGCTTCTGTATTTGAAAATTCTTCAATCATTCAGGCCATCTAGGATAATCAGGTTGATTTTTTTCAAAAAGCAAGACAACATTTTCACTATTTTCAGATACAAGTAGGTATACAATTAGCAAATGAATTTTCTAGTGTAATAGTTACTGTATATGGTATATCTATATAGGTATTGAAAAACAAGAAATGACGTATAATGATGATGGTGTGACTATAACCTGAGGAAGGACGGTATGTTGCAAATGTATTGAAAAATAGATTTTTATTAATTTATAAATTATACCGATACTAAAATAGTACAAAATCACTTTATTTAAAATCTTTTATATCATCGGAAAGACAAATTATAATCAATTTTTTTCTTAAACTATGAGTTTAATATGCATAAATTCAATACTTAAACTTAGTCTGCTACTGTGAAAACCGATGAGGCTCTAAAACAGTATTGAGGCCTGGGGTCATGCCCCCCTGGCCCTTGCCACCCTTCATTTCGGGCTTATCAGTAGTTATCGATATGTAACTACCTTAATATAGTAGTTACTATAGTTACATATCGATTATTATATTATTATTATTATTATTATCATTATTATCATTATTATCATTATTATTTTTATTATATTATATACCTACATGACCAAGTCTATAGGTACTTAATGATGTTTTGATACCGGAACC